AAGGGATTGCGGCGGGACCATCCCCCCTGGGGGGTGATTTCTCACTTTCTGTCTCTATGTCTCTCTCTGTCTGGCGAGTGCACGCGCTCTATAGCGAAAAAACCTCTCCCAAAAAAAAAAAAAAGTAAAATATGAAAAAAAAAATTCAGTGTCATGAAAGATAATGAAGGCATGAAGCATGGCTAGAGATAGAGATTTTATATTGTTAAAGATATCAAAGAAGAAAAAAATCAGATAATAAATCTGTATGCCTCTAATTACACAGCTTCTAAACAAACGTGGTGAAAAATGGAAAATTAAAAGGGAATATAGTCAAATTCATAATCACAGTAGGAGAGTTTAACCCATCTTTTAGATTAGATAGAAGAAAAAACCAAAAGAGAAGCAAAGACACACAATTTAAAATTTTTTCCTAAGTGACATATGTAGAACATTGTATCCAACAATGAATCAGTATTCTTTTCAAGTGTACATGGAACATTTGCCAACATCGATTGATGGGCCATAGAGTCACAGAAGATGAATACACTTCCCTGCACAGATATTCACCTCCTACTCCCTGGAACCAGTGCTTATGTTACACGAAAAAGGGGAATTCAGATTACAAATGGAATGAACTGACCTTGACAAGGGGAGATTATCCTGGCTATTTGGGGAGCCCTGACATAAGCACAGGGTCCGTATAAGGGAAATAGAAGCAGAAATGTGAGAGTGTAGAGGGATAAAGTGTGAGAAAAACTCAGTCAGTCATTGCAGGCTTTGAAGATGGAGGAACGGTGCCATGAGCCAAGGAATGTGGGAAATCTCCGGAAGCTGGAAAAGTCAAGGAAATGGATTCTATCCCAAAGCCTGCAAAAGAATTATAGCGCTGCCAATACCTTGATCTTTTCATTTTTTAAAAAAGTTTTATTTATTTCTTCTATGAGAAGATAATAAGGCAGAGAGAGAAGCATGCACAACTCTAAAGGTTTCCCATGATGTAATCCAACCCCAGTCTCAGCTGGCCTGGATCACGGGCATGTATACACATACCTGACGAGCTTGGGGAGGTCTCTAAACACAAACCAGGATCTTTCCCATCTGCTGCATTACCATGTGCCACCACCTGTCTCTGTGATACCTAGATTTTTCAGACCCATTTTGAACTTCTAACATCCAGAACAGTAAGAAACAGATTTATGTTATTCTAGGCCAATAAATTTGTGGTAATTAGTTATAGTAAAACTAGGAAAATAGGGGCCAGAAGGTGGTGTGGTGGTAAAGGTGTTAGATTTTTGTGTGGCTGACTGCAGTTCTAGTCCTAGATCCTGTAGCTTGAAACTCATGCCGGGCATATGTGGGTTTGTGCCCAACATCCTGAGAGGAGAATGGAGGAGAAGGGATTATGGCCTGACCATCTGCCCTGGGAGGTGATGTCTTGCTTTCTGTCTCAGTGAACACATGTGCCTTATGGCAAAAAAAATCTCTCAAAAATAAATAAATAATAAAGCAATAGAAAAATAATAAAATAAAATTTAAAAGATAATGAAAAAATGCTCAACTGACTGGAAATTAGACAATATACTCTAAATAATATATGGCAGTAGCCCTCAACCTTTTTGGCACCAGGGGCCAGTGGAAAACAATTTTTCCACAGATGGGAGAGTGGAAAGCATGGTTTGGGGATGATTTTGGCATTACATTTATTGTTGACTTTATTTCTATTATTATTCTATTGTGATATATAATGAAATAATTATACAACTCACCATAATGCAGTATTTGCAGCTGCTCCCCAGCCCTAGCATCACCACCTCAGCTACATGTCAGATCATCAGGCTTTAGATTCTCATAAGGAATGCAAAACCTAGATTCCTCACATGCACAGTTCATAACGGGGTTAGTACTCCTATGAGAATCTAATGCTGCCACTGATCTGACAGGAGGCAGAGCTCAGGCAGTAACGCAAACAATGGGGAGTGGCTGTAAACACAGATGGAGCTTGGTGCCTACAGCTCACCTCCTGCTGTGTGACCTGGTTCCTAACAGGCCACAGACTGGTACTGGTCCATGCCCAAGGTTTGGGGACCCCTGACATATGGGGCAGAGAATAAACAAATATATAAATTAGGAAATATTTGAATTGAATGACACTGAAGGTACAACTTAAGGTACAACCAAACTTGTACTTTAAGCTGTAGGATACAGCTAAAGTGGTACTCAGAAAAAGAATGCTTAAATACATGCGTTAGAAAAGAATATTGAAAAGGTTAGATGGTGGAGCGGTAGTAATACAACTGGGCCCATACAAAGGAAGGTCTAAGGTTTGAATCCTGGGGCCTCCCTGTGCATGCCAGGCTTGTGCATACATGTGTGCTTGTTATCTGGGCTGGTTAAAGTTGGGGGTGAATCATAGCAGGACTGTTGGTGGTGCCTTTTTCTATCTCTCTCAGAAGAAATAAATTTTGAAAACCTTAAAAGTAAACTCCTCTGGAAGACAACTGTATATAGCAGAGATAGTGTAATGGGAGAGGGGGGAAAGGGCAGAGGGTCAAACATAGGATAAAAAACATATATATATGTATACATATGTATGAAAGTAGAAATGGAATATTATTGATGATAACATGCTTGATTAAGCCACTATGCAGTTTATCCTAGATGGGAAACCACATTTAGTATGCTGTGATGATGCTCAGGGAAAGAATGTTAGGTAATATAAAACAAACAAACAAACAAACCAAAAACTGGTAAAACTGTTCGCATCATT